TACCAAGTCACTGACCAAGCTTACAAAGGGAATTTCACTCATCATCCCTACTGATAAGCTATAATTATAATTAGAAAAATAAAATATATTGTGAGTGATTTCAATGTCTTTCGTACAAGGAATTAAATGTGCTTTGCATTCATGAGTTCATTGGCCACATTATCTCATTAAGCCTGGTTAGCAGCTCTGTGAGGAAAAAGATATCAGGTTCTCCTGGCCCCCCACTAGAAGGAGTTAGTATCTATCTACGAAGGTAATTCAAAAAAGTTTATGGAAAAACCCTTTCTATGAAAATTTTGAAGCTTCTGCCTATCTTTGTAGCATGCACTGGATTCTTCTCCCTCTGACTAGGAAGTAGGTCCTCATCCCTGAAATGATCATTATTATCTTTCTGAGACACAGAACAACTAATAGTCGATCCCATTTTATGAATACTAGAATGCAAGCCTCCCTTTTTATGCCAGTACTAGTCACAAAATTTTACCTATGCACATATATACAGCTTTTAAAATCTTGATCTCTCTTACTCGACAAAATGCCTGTCTAATAAAATTAACATCTCACTAAAGAACGGAAAATGATGAGATCATGACAAATCCCATCCACTAAAGAGTTAATCTGCTGCATGCTAAAACCTTAAACCTAACTTACTGGGTTGCTTCCTAAACCAGTTATTTGTGAACATTTATTTTAAACTATCACGCCTTTCACCATCCTGAAAAGTCGGATAGTGGAATTCTCTCTCTCCTCAAAGTCGATTCATTGTAAACGGTCCATCCCTCCTTGCTGACTCCAAAAGCTGTATAAACACACTGCAATCAAATCCACGATAGCTCACAAAGGGCCTTTCTTTACACAATCTACAAAATGCCAATCTAATACAAATACAAGAAAGAGAAGTTCTTACTAACACACATTTTGCATTTACAGTACTCGGAACAGTGCTTAAACCTGCACTGATGATAGAAAGAGCTCTCTGCCCCCACCCCTCACCCCCTGGCCCACGCCACCCCTGGATGACAGCATGCTTAGTTCTCTCATTTACACCACACTGCAATAACATAAAGAAGGGTTTACTATTAATCCAGGTTTTACTACAAAGCGGCCCATTATTTCTCTGTCAAACACCAGCAAGAGTGCCAAGTGTCTGTCATCCAATTCAGGAGATTAAGTCTTCTTTTATAGTGTGATACTTGTACCAATTTATAAAAATACAGATATAGTTTCTTAGAGTTGGTCACAGTCTATATTTTGGCTTGGATTCAGGCAGCAGAGGTTGACTATGACAGCTGGCAGGAAATTGAAGGGAGAATACATCCTCCCCCTTTCAGTCTCCAAGTATCAGTTGCCATAGAAATTAATCCTTAATTGAATGATGTCTTTGTACATTTCTTTTCAGAAAACTTTAAGTAAACTTAAGTTGAAAACATGCAGCTGATTTAAAAAATGAAGCATCACATCCCAAGCAGGTACAGTTAAATTTTGTGACATACTCCACATATTAAAAGAACAAATTAACTCTAATAAAGGTATTATCAGTTCCTTCAAATGCTTAAGGCATTATTATTGCTGCCTGAGGTGAAACCTAAGGCACACAGGTTTTCCGTCTAGTTCTCAGATACTTTCATCTTCCAACAGGAGCTGTTTTCAGAAATGATTCTAAAATATTCAAATCTAGTTTTAAGGCAAAAATGAATTCTTATTTTGCACACCATTTTACACAGTTGGCACTATCACCAATTAACAATGGCACAATTAGAATTTTATATGAGGAGAGATAAATTTTAACTGAGGGCACTGATACAATATATTCTATAAGTAGAAATTAATATATAAAGTAAAATCTATAAAAAAATAAACATGGAAAAAATGGCCCATTTTAGGCCTATTTTTGACATATGGTCAAGCTCTGTTTGTTTGGCTTTCAATGATTATGTAGAAAAGACTGAGAAATTCTGGAAGATCTTAGGATTTTATCAAGGACTGTGTGTGTGTGCGACTTCTCTCTTGCTAGCTTTCAACTGCTTTGCAGTTCAGTTAAAGGCTCTATGACGCCATTAGATTTAATTACAGTATTCCTCAGAAAACAGACATATCATAGCCATTGTGTACTGGCTTCCTACAAACAGAATTTGCTTTGCTTTCTTAGGAAGCGAGGCAACACATAACACATCTGCATCTGGCTCTATACACACAGACACAGTCTTTTCAAACACAGGCAAAGTTCAATGGTGAGACTTTGGTGACAAACAGGAAGCACTCAGAATTCCAAACCGTCAAAAAGAGTCTTGAGGCCAGCCTAACATGAAAGCTCCTGTGCTGTAGGTGGGAGGGCTGGGGACTTGGGGAGACTTCAGGAGCAAGGCATTCACTCACACTATGGCGGAGTCTCTTCTGTCTGTGTCGTGCTTCATTTCCTCCCCCCTAGTTTATTCTCTTTTCACAGCCAGTTTCATTTCTTCAAAACGGCAAATCCATGATTACACCCTCTACAACAATGGAAGCTGCACAACCACCCCTTGAGTGACACACTGATCTTTGCCCGAGCATGAAGGCGAGTTTCAGTGTTGGAGAAGCAGGCACATCCCTCAGGCATCCCCTATAAATCTTTTATTAGAAAGTTTACAATACAGTCCCTGAGTGATTTTTAGATAGAAGGCATTTCAACTGTAAAGACAAGTAAATATCGCTGTCCTTGTTAACTGGACAAACTACATGATACAGGTCAAATCTGTAGGACTGAATATTTTCCTGTTGGAGTAGAAATTTACTCCATCAATCACTCAAATACGTGTCTTTACACAGATGGTTCTTGGCCTGCTAACACTGGTGCTAGGACTGGACTTCCTGTTTAGTGGCTTTAGTGGCTTCCTGGAATGTGTTACATCTACCATGATTTAGTCAGGAAATGACACATTTCTTCATAGTCCCTGAAAAGGGACAACTATAGTAATTCTAAGTTGGTATATGTTTGTTAGGGAAGATATGGCCTCAAAGGATATACTCTAAATCCAATCAACTTCTTTGTGAGAGTTGCCTCCTGGCCCCCAACACACACATACCATTGTGAGGAGACAAGGTTTCTGATGAGATGTACTATTAACTTCATGAAGTGCTGTGGCAGAAAGAGTCAACATAATTGATAGTGTTTACACTAAAGATAAAGGAACTTCCTTCCCATTCTAGCCTTTTCAGTTTTATAACTTCCTTTATGAAGATTCCAAAGGGTCTGCTTATCACGTCTGTACCCAGAGTTTGAGTCTCAGGTCCACTTAAATTATTTTATTAACATTCACTACAGGGGGTTTTCAAATGATCTAGCCACTTCACATTAAAATTTGTTCATTTGGACAGAAAAAAGGACCTAGTTAAAAAGTAAAAGAAAACAATACCTGATTTTAAAAACAGCTGTATTTTGAAAGACTGTGAGATGTCATTCAGCCTAATAAACAAAATTTCTAGAAAACTTAGAATATTTTTGCCCTTTGTTTGTTAATTTCCCATATTCCCCCCCCCCCCCCCCATGACTCCTACCAGTGCACCAGTTCTCCTCAAAAGGATGTTAGGCATTAGGGACGGAACAACTCTTTGAATGAGGGATGGCCCCTAAGCCATACACAATATACCTGGCCTCCAGATATTAGTGCCATTTAGGCATTCGGTCACTAAAACTGCCCACACACATTTCCAAGTGCACTAGTTGAGACCAGGCTAAATTGTCCATTGTCTTCATTTTGTTCACCAGGGAACACAAACAAATGCCATTGTTTTGAAACAACTAGGTAAGGTGTTATGGCCGATGTATGTATATTTGTCTTCCATCATTGAACTTTAATTTTTAAATTTTATTTTTATTTTCTCTGGTTCTGAATTTATTTTGTATTTTGGTATGATTATTAGGATATTCAAATCCTTTGTGAAACCACCAGAGGTACAAATAATGAAGACAACGTAACAGTTAAAGAGCACCCCCTCCCCCAACAGTTCATTTTTAAATGTACTAACAACACAAAACAAATTACCTTTCTTCTATGCATTTCTGACCTCTACCCATAAATTGGCAATAAAAGTACTTCTAAGGTACTTAGCTCTTAGGAGCTAATAAAGAGTAATAAGCAAAACAGTAATAAAATATTTTTTGAACTTTTGATAAAATGACAGCTTTTAATCTAAAACATTATCTTCAATGACTACAGATCTCCACAGAGTACTATAATTTTTAAAACGACTTGTTTGTCATTTAGAGTTAAACAAAACGTAAATATGAAGGCTTTTTTCCTCCAAAGCTTTCTTTACCCCTGTAAAGGGTTGCAGGCTAGGAATCCCCCGGGAGCAGTTCTACCCTGCTCTATCCCGTAACTATGAGTCGGCAGTGACTTGAAGGCAGTGAATTTGGCGTTTTTTTCTTTCTACACCACATCCATTTTAAATCAGAAGAAACCATAGGAAGTAGTTATTTCTTATAACATAATAAAAATACTTTTGCTGAATATGTATATGCCATATGCTGCTGCTTTTGTGTGTGAGAAAAAAATTTGAGAGAATCTAATCATATACCTTTCTTTTTCACATGAGCAGAAGGGCGTGGTCCTGACTTAACCACATGATCAGCAGGCTCTTCCTCAGTCTGGGATACAGCAGCTTTGAGGGAAACCGTTAAGCAACCCAATCATTCTTAGGCATTTACATGAATGTTTTAACCTACAACGTCTTCAGTGACTACAGCGTTCCAGAGGGTATTTTGTTTTTCCAACTGACGTTTGTTACTTACAGAGTTTTCGTAGCTCCTTCACTCGTTGTGCTGCTGTTAAGTTCGCGGTTAGAAATCACCAGTCGTTCTGGGAGAAAGACCGAGCAGTTAGCTCTCTCTGGTCGATAGGGTCGCTAAGAGTTGGCATCGAGTGGATGGCAGTGAGAGCTCTTTGTGCGAATATTTAAAGAAGGTCCCATCGAGTAACGCCTGTGAAAAATGATGTCAAAATTAAAGATATTGTTCTCACCTTAGAACTGCACACGGCTACATTAGCAGGAAGCTGGGAAAACTGCTTCAACTCAAATACATCGTGTACTGCCCACCGGCTCATGTGATTTTCAGCTTTGCTTGATCCAATCACATTCTGGTTTGAGTGGACATAAGCAACTTCCTGAACGCCATCTAGGAAGTAATCAGATATTTATTATCAAATGATGCGTCATTAGAAGATCATAGAGTTCCATGTAAATGTAAAAATAAAGTACACATAGCATTGCTTACATATTACTGGTCATTTTTAATATTCAAGAAAAACATTGTTTAATTTTATTTTTTCAAAAGTTGTAAGTGGAAGATTCAAATATGCTGCTTTAGGTAAACTTGGAAACAGCCCTTCCCACTCATCAACTTGAAAATTGCAGAGATAACTGTTTTTAGGCTTAAACCTGAAAAGGGGATTTTAGCCAGGAGAAAAGTCATCATCGATGGTCTGCTTCAGAAGTTTCTGTTCTCTGGTGATTTAGAAAAAAGTGTTTTCTAATTAAAAACCAGTGTTAGTCTCATCCGTTATTTTAAATGTATACCCGGATAAGTAAAAAAGTATTGTTACCAGGTTCCTAGTTCATTCATGCATGCGTTTATTCCAAATAAAACATGTTAAAACATGTCTCTGAGATCAGTGGATGGCTGCAGACATGTTCTCTCAGTAATATGCTTGCTTGTTCTCATTAGGGTGCCTTCAAAAACAGGTCCAATCAAAACCGTGGTTTCGGAAGGGGTCTGCTACTCAAAGCTACTCAAAGCTGTTCAACTCAAAGCACAGCGGTGAGCTCAGAAAGTTATGGCAACTTTGAGATTCCAAAGGAGTAATTTTGATAGGTTTTCTCAAAGGGCACACAATGTTCACAGGAGCGTGTTAGGAAGGAGTCTGAAGAAAACTGCGTTGGTGAGAAGATCGAGAAAATGGTGCAGAGGAATGATTTCCCTTCCCAACAGGGTACCAGCTCAGTCTTTGAGGATAGCAAGGGTGGCCCTAAAAGAACTTCATTATCCACCCACTTTCCACTCTTTATCTTACCCCTTCAGACTGATTTTGTTCCTAAAACCCAAAGCACACTTAAAAAGGAACACATTTTGATTCCCTTGATGATGTCAAAACTGTTTTCAAGTGGTGCAAATCAATGGGTACAGAATTCTTTAGGATTCTGCAGAACTGTAGACGGTAATGGAGGATATGTTGAGAAACAAAAGCTTCACAATTTGATAGGTTTGTTTAATGACCGTTTCTATGATTGTATAGCAATGTATTTTTGACTTACCTTCTTACTTGACTACAGTGATAGACCAGAAACACTGGGCCTGTGACCAGGGAATTTCCTTTGGTTGGCTTTCCTTGGCTTGTGTTTTCCCTTTTTTTTATATACATGCACAGAGAATGTGAGCTTTTTAGAAAATTAAAAAAATTAGCTCACAGCATTTTTCTGAAAGAGATTTAGAAAATGGCTATTCTTTTTATTGCTTTGCTTCTGGGAACCTCTAATTTATTTTTAAATTGTGGTCATAAAAGAGCAGATGGGCCTGAGATCTGTAAAAACTCTCCGAAACAGCTCTGTAAATGAGCCTCAATTATGACCTTCAGCATTTATGCTACTTCAGTCCTGAATCTCTCAGTCAAACTGTCATTCATGTAAAAACCAGTGGCTACTAAATAGCACAAGGAAAGGAATAACTAGAAAATATTATCCTTAGAGTTCAAAACACCAAAGATTATGCATGGCACACATACAAAAGAATTTTCAAAGATACTGGAATTTTCCCATGAACGTTAGAAGCACTACATATTCAAAATTTCCAAATGGATTCTTCTGGTACAAAATTTACTCAAATCTTTCTTAATTTTGAAGACCACTTTATATATTACTCAAAATAGAATTAATTTCACACTAACTACTGACTTACACAAAAAATGTGCAGATAATTAAAAAGATGATTATGCAAAAAAGTATTCAATAATTCCTGAAACCGAAAATTTAATTATAGCGCACAAACCAAAGGATAATCCAGTACGTTTACTCACTCACTTTCACTGCCATCAAGTCTATGCCAGCTCACAGTGACCCTAAAGGACAGGGTAAACTGCCTCGGTAGGGTTCTGAGACTGTAACTGTTTATGTGAGTAGGAAGCCCCATGTTTCTCCTAGCCAGTATGTTACAACAGTACATATATAGAGAATATATATGTATATATGTGTGTATTAGTCTAGGTACTTTAGAGAAACAAATCCACTGCAACTCATGTATGAGACTTTTATGTAAAGAAAGTGTGCATCACAAAACATCCCAACCCAATGCTGCCCAAGCCCACAAGTCCAACATTAACCCATTAACCCAACACCAGTCCACAAAGTCCTCCGCCTCACAAAACAGAGGCAATGATGCCGACTGCAGGAGGAAAGCTGAGTCAGTGAACGAATAAGCATCTCAGCACTAGCAGGGGTCTCCACATGGCTGCTCCAGCACCCAGGGCTGCATTGGGATAGGTCCATGTGGCTTCTCCTTGGGGATGTCTTGTAGGAAGTCAATCTTGCAAGCTGAAGCAGGGAACTGCTAAGGCAGCTACACCCTGATGCGACCATCACAAAGCAAGAGACCCGAGAACTAGAAAGGCAAGGCTCACCACCCATTTATCCCTCCGCCTTTCAATTAGCCCCTCATGTGATTATCGGCCAGGTTGGCACAATTAACTAACTCAATGTGTGTTACATGTATATAATGTATATGTACCATAATGAACTTAAAAATGAGACTACTAATAAACCCCAAAGAGAGAGTTGTAAATAAATCAAACACAAAGATTAAGGCTTACATAGCAAAATAGCCTTGTTTATGTATCAGCCTCTTTGATACAATTTTTTTGAGACAAGTCAGACACTTTTTAGGGTCATGTTAATTCAAAATCATTAGGCTAGATTCCGGAGAGAAGATGATGATTGTAGGAGAAAATATTTTTGCAATCTCTCTGAATCTCCAAATCCATAAAAGTAGCTACCCATTAGACAGAAAAACCAAGACATTTACAACACAACTGGGTGACAGTCAAGAGACGTCTATGAGACCAAAAATATAATTAAGTGGGGACAAGCCACTCATAGTCACAAAATCTATATGGTATCAAGATCTGTACAGGAAGAAGAAGAAACAAGATGTAATTGTGAGAATAGGAAGGAGACTTCAATATAGTTAACAAGTCTTCACTGGAAAGCATAATGGACCAACAACTCTATGATAAAAGCATATTAGTAAGATGTACTCACAAAAGATTAAAACTGTAGTGTATTTTAAATGAGGTAAAAAACTAAGAAAAGGGGAAAGCAATATAAATCAGAATTAGAAAAGTCAGGAATAAGTGAAAGATGCAATACAAATAAGTTATTTCAGAAAAGAAAACTAGAAGGGGCTAGAAGGGGCATAACAGGGGGAAAGCACAAGCAAAAATAAATAGATAAAAAAGTTGGGCAGAACATGAATCTGACATGACTGAAGATAAATGTTGAACTTTTGAATACTCGTCTCTGAAGAAGCAAGACATAAAAGCAAAGCAACAGAACACAAAGCTAAAAACAGTAATATCAAGGGACTTACTTTACAAAGTTTGTGGGAAAGTTCCATTATTTTTTAATTCCATTTTTCTACAAACTTTTTGAAGCCACCTCATATAACAAAACATCCCTGAAAATTGGGTTGACACAATACTGTGTAAATGAGAAAATTTACCCAGAATAGCTAACACCAAGACATAGTCTAGTAAAATGACTGGACGATAGGGGACAGAAAATAAGTACTTGAGAATCTAGGGGGAAAAAATAAAAGGAATACATCATATATTTTTTATGTTAGCAGTGAAGCTACATAACAGTTTTCAAAATTTTCAAGTAAAGAAAGTGTGAGCCAAGAATTTTACATCCAGCAAAACCAAGAGTTTTATATCCAGCAAAAATAACTTTAGAGTATACAGGGCAAACAATGTTATCAAGAAGAAACTTAAGGAATATTATTTTCATCTATTCTTCCTGAGAAATCTACTAGTAGTTAAGATACACTCAAAATGACTGGAAACCATTAAAAGCCCAAACCAAACTTACTGCCACTGAATTTGTATCCCATTTCTGGGATACACTTATAGTGACTCTATATAAGACAAGGTAGAACTGCCCCAACTTAAAGTGACTATATGAGACAAATGTAGAACTTCCCCTAAATCTTTATCAAAGCACAAAGCCTCAATATTTCTCCCGAGGAGCAGCTGGTGGATTCAAACTGCTGATTTTATAGGCTAGCAGCCCAATTCAAAACCCATTGTGCCACCAGGGTTCCTTACAGCGACACTAGGGGGCATTAAATACAATTATTTCTATAACCAAGAGTAAATGGAGGCAAAGAACACTCCGCAATGTCGTCTATGCTCTGACCATGTATACACAGTACATCTAATTTCAAAGTGGAAGATACACGGGAAGAGCGTGTACCCAAAAACTAAAAAAGAGTTGTCAATAATTATACTATGGTAATACTACCATTTTTTAATATTTGATTGTTGTGTACTATAGGATAAAACAAATTTATGGAATATTATAATTTAATCAAGGAGCCCAATTGGCACAACTAGTTCAGCACTTGGCTGCTAACCTAAAGGTTGGCCTTTTGAACCCACTCAGCAGCTCTGAGAAAAAACCACCTGGGATCTGCTTCCATCAAGAGTACAGCCTAGAGAACCCTATAAAATAATTGCCCTCTGTCAATATGGGGCTCCCTATGAGTCTTTATCAACCCAGTAGCACCTACAAACATAATGTAACTGTTCATGACCTATAAGCTTGAGAACCAGAACTCTCAGTATGGAAGAAATGGGATACACACGTAATGAGGTGAAGTAAAATACAAGGTCAAATTTGAATTGTAACTATCAATAAATATAAAATTCTGAGATATTTTATCATCACGTATCCAACTGCACATATATACCCTAACAAAAGGGAATGTCATCACGATGATTCTGATTCTTAGCAGGCAACTCTGGTAGATCTGACCTGCCAATTTCGCAGTTAGTAATCCAGTGCTGAATGCACAGTGCCTCCATGGCACCTTTAATATATATGTGTGTGTACCCACCCCTAAATGAAAAT